CTTCCCCTTTAGGCGTTCGTCGCACCAATCCTTCGCGGAAAAGTTATATTTCCGCTTCATATAGTTATTCAAAATCAAACCAAACCGAACAAACGCATCGGGGACTGCATCTTCGCGGGATCCGGACACCTTGAAGGTGGTTAGGAAGTATCTGCGGGAGAGCAGGTGACGCTGTTAGCCCAGAAATTGCTCCTAATCGATAGTTCTCTGCCTTTTCGGCTTTTAGTTCCTTTAAACGGAGCCCCGAGGCGCCTCTTTTCAGGAAATAGCCTGCTTCGCGTCACAGCTGCAGAAGAAATCTCGCCACCCAACCCAAGCGAAACCTTGTGGCAGCTGGTATCGGTGCTAGGGGGAGCTGTTCAGACAGGCTTCGTGTGGGCGACGGTAAAATAGGGGCAATTGTTCTCATCATGACAAATCGGGCGAGTCATATCCCCCCTCTCTGGGTCTCGGCAAGGCACAAGGCGCGCTAGCAAGCCGCAAAGAGACAGCTACCCGGGGACCCGAATCAAGTAGTCAAAACGCTCAAAGGCCCCGCTGTCGTCAGAACCAACAGTGCAACACGAGCCAGAGGGCACGGGGAGGGACAACCTGAAAGTGCATTTAAGGCTGAGGACAGGAGACACGTCTTTACCCAAAGGGTGGCGGGGGAGTGGCGCCAGCGATGTTGTTGGAGCCCATTTTACTCGCTACCTTCAGGGATGGGCTGGGTGAGAGCCTCTGATCGATTAGGAGCCAAATGAGCCAGAGGAGGAGGAGAATGGGCCCTTCCTGTGCACTTCTTACGGTCTCCTTTCCAAAGCACAACAGATACAACTCGCCGCCGCTCCTCTTCAACGGGTATTCCAACGGAACTCGTTTCGTACTTCCAGCGGCCAACGCGTTTCCCTGGACCCGATTCCCCTTCCACCGGCTTTGCAGGACGCGTTACACCGACCGGAACAGGCACTGTGAGAGAAATGTTGCGCATCGTATTCAGCAACGCCATTTGCTCGTCGCAATTCATACCGGCCAGACGACTAACGTGAAACGTGAAACGTGAAACGTTCAGCTGCCGAAGTTAAGAGCCGGTAACTCCTTTTGCATTTAAAAAAAAAAAAGGCGCAAACCTCACCTTCGAGCTGAAAAGCATCGGTATATAGAGGCCGCTCGGACGCATCCCTGCTCTGGTACCGGCGCCCGTACGGTTAAGAATGGCTTCGCACCTCTCGCAGAAATCTCCAGCTCAAGGACGGGCCGCGCCCAAGGGCTTTCAGGATCAGAGAACCCCGCGATATCGAAGCTCGAACCCGTCAGCACAGCCTCGCCGCTTGTACTAGAGACGCAAGACGACCGACCTCCAGCTCAACGACAGAGAGGCTTGACACCGACACGATAAATATACGCGAGCGTCGGGGGGCGCTCAAAGTTTTCAATGCGACAAAAAACAAAAAGCCCAGTTCTCCCGGATCTTCCCTGAGAACGACCCAGCTGTCCCCCCTCTACCTCCCGTCTCCCGAACGCGTGGGTGCGTGGGTGGGTGGAGGGAGTGTCGCGCTGCGCTCAGCACCTGTCCGAAAGAGACCAGCTGCGCAGCGACAAGGCAGACGGAGCGATTTTCCCATCTCGGATACCAACACATCAATATTAAATCCAGTGGCATGACCTTCAATCCCTCTGGAAAGATCCACGGCCAAGAGGCACTGTGCTGGTAGAAATGATGTTAACGGCTTGATCTTTTTTTTTTCTTAATCCCCAAAACTTGTATTCATAAAAAAAAAAACCATGCGGGGAGCCTTCTCGTGTGCCAGCAACACGTTTGTGCACCTCGCAAAACAGACCCATTCCAGACTGCGTGTCCAAATCACATTCTAGCTTTTAACCTATAACGCGGTTTCACTCTCGGCTATCCATCTCTTTCAGGAAGAGAAATGCGTCTTCTATGGACCGCGCGTGGTGTTATTCTGTAGTGAGCACCGTGCTGTACTATCCAGTGAATCAAGAATAATGATAACTCCATTTTCCCATTACTTTAGCCAGGAGAGCGGTATACATGGTCGAGTTGGAGCCTATCCCAGCTCGCAATGGGCACCAAGCAGGGTACACAAAGACAGGCATTAAAGTGTGCCTGTCTTTGTGTACCCTGCTTGGTGTACCCTGGAGACATTAGTCTCCAGAAGCTGGAGAAACTAACCCACAGGCATGTCTTCGTACTGTGGGGCAATACCAGAGCACCAGGAGGAAACCCACACGAACACAGGGAGAACATGCAAACTCCACACAGACAGCACCCCAGAAATAGGGCCTCGGCAATGGTCATCTCTGTGCCCAGCCTTGGCTATAATAATAATAATAATAATAATAATAATAATTGCTTACACTTACATAGACTTTTCTGGACACTCCACTCAAAGCACTTTACAGGTAATGGGAATCCCCTCCACCCCCACCAATAACAGGGCTCATCACTGTTCTCTTCATGTGTGCTGTGCCTGTTATGCGTATCATATCATCCAACATGTTCTTTTTTTATAATAAACAATTCAAAATAGTTACCTTTATTTTATATGTTGTGCAGTGAGGCGTTTCCCTATTGCTTTAAAAAGAGCGCACAGAAAGCACCCCCAAGCTGGTGCGCCCTGCAATGAAACTAAAGGCCTAAGCAAGCACCGGGGTGAGGGCGATCCCCTCCTGGCGCGCGAGATACTCCCGGGGCCCAGGAGACGAGAGCAGCCTGGCAGAGGAAGTGAGACGACAGCCCACTGCAACACCGCAAGCCTGCGGTGATCTATGCAAATCAAGTTGAGAAACAAGCAGATTGAGAAAAGGCAGTAGCCGCAGTAGTACTCACGATGGTAGATCCTGTCCCTCAGTCTTTACAGGGCGAAAGGGTGATCGGGCAGAGAAGCTTGTACAGTCTCATCAGGACACAATGCCAATAAAGCCGTTTAGAAGTAGTAACTGAAGTCAGAACTGAATTCGTAGGCTTCGGTTCGTGAGTACAAAGGTCAGTTTGCTGTCTGCACACGATAAGCAAACTCAACGGGTCACAGCGCAGGAAAAAGGGAACTGAGACGCCTAAATAAATACACACGATAAGGCTGGAGACGGCGAGAGATCACAGGGGAGCCCTTCAGCCAGCGATTAACCCGCGCGCTAGAAAAAGGAGACACAGTGGGAGAGCGGAGATCACAGAGAATCCCTCGGTGATCATCCCACACCCTAGAGAAAGGAGGGACAGTCACAGCCAGCTCTTTGCATCTGAAATGCAGAGGGGGGGGGAGGGGGACGGAGAATGCCTGGGTCGTAAACCAAACAGAGCAGGAAATGAGGAGTGCAGAGATGAGAGAATTCCTCGGAAATGTAAACAATAGGACAAGAAACACAAGAGAGAGGCTGTTTTTGGCTTTTTGCCCATCAGGCTGCTCAGAGGACACAGTAGCTGCTGCAGGGCCTTTGAAGCTGTTCTTCATCTTCTGCCAGCTGGAGCACGACATCCTGATCATAATAAGATCAGATCACTTTATTAGCCCTATACAATTTCTTGCATTAAGAATTTGTCTTTTCACAGACCCCAGCTTGCTCTCCATGAGACACACAGACAGGGAGAGAAGCTGGGGGTCAGAGCGCAGGATCGGCCATTTATACGGCGCCCCTGGAGCAGCTGAGGTGAAGGCCCTTGCTCAGGGGCCCAGCGGAGTGGGATTCCTCTGCCGGCCGCGGGATACGAGCCGGCAGCCTTCCAGCCACAGGCGCAGATCCTGAGCCACAGAGCCACCACTCCGCCTCCTTAAAATGCACAAGGCCGACTCAAAGGGGGCGTCAGGGGGAGGCTAAGATCCCAATTCCCCGGGTACCAGTGTGTAACTGGTTGTGAGGTGCCGGGGTAGGGATGGCGTGAGCCAGTCAGGAACGTACCTGAGACTTCTGGGGAAACGGTGACTCTTCGGGGTTTGCAGCCGGATGGCCCAGTCTCGCGGCAGTTAGCAATTCCGCACTGGGAGAATACGTCCATCCATTCCTTCTCTACCTGCTTTAACCAATACAGGGTCCCGGAGGAGCCCGAGCCTATTCCAGGCCAATCAGGGCAGGATACGCCCTGGATGGGACGCCAGTCCATCAAAGGACACAGACACAGATTAACCCACCAGCCTGTCTTTGGCCTGTGGGAGGAAACCAGAGCGCCCAGAGGAGACCCACCCAAGCACAAGGAGAAGACGCAAACTCCTCACTCCTCATTCCAGCCCAGGGTCTGGAACGGGGCCCAGAGTCCCAGCACTGCAAGGCAGCAATGATAACCAATTTCGCTGCCTTACCCCTCTCCTCTCAGTCTTACCCTTTTTCAGAAGAGCAAAGCCCAGTCCGATCAACATAGCCCAGACCACAGTGAAGGCTACCAGACCACACAGGGCCTTGCTGACGAAGCCAAATTTCAAAAGAGGTTCCTCAGAGGCGTACAGTTTTTTTTCAGACGGAAAGTTACAACACTACATTGCACAGCTGGGAGCTAGCTGGTTTATCTTCTTGAAAAAGCTGCACTGAGAATCAGAGGAAATTGAAGTCTTTTAAAACGGTCTGCCGATGTGTTTCATCTTATCTGATTTCACACAAAACCTAAAATCCCACCCTACTACGCTTACCAATCACCAGTGAGAACAGGTGAGCAGTTTTAACCAGAAACCTGTCCGTGTCGCTGGAAGATCAATACTGTTCCCAGTTCTGCTGGAGCATCAGTTAGGGATCTGTAGCACAAATGCAGAAATGAAACTGTTCTGTTCTGCAGTGGACAATGTAAACGCTCAGGGAAAATGAATTGAAGGAAATTATCCTGATAGTTTATATTTGGCTCAACCCTGCTTCCTTTTCAACTTCCTGTAGACTAGCCCCAGAGACTCGTGACCAAACTAAAACAAAAAATACTGTACTGTTCCAGTTACAAACCACTAGACTAAAGTTCCTGCATTAGTTTAAGATAATTAATTTGGAACTACTGTACTGTGTAGCTGCACTGGTTTAAAATCACTGGATTGGAATTACTGAACTGTGTAACTGCACTGGTTTAACATCACTGGACTGGAATTACTGCACTGTGTAACTGCACTGGTTTAACATCACTGGACTGGAATTACTACACTGTGTAACTGCACTGGTTTAACATCACTGCACTGGAATTACGCAAAAAAAAAACATTTCGCACAATACATTGCAAAAGGATTTCCTCTATTATTGAAAATTTGTGACACTGAATGTTTTCAGGTCTTCAACCCACATCTTATATTCAATAAAGGGAACCTGGGTGAACAAATAACACATTTGATTTGTGTTTACTTATTTCATGATTTAATGAACAAAGTTATCCAACAACTTTGGATTGGGTTACCTCAACCCAATTTAAGGGATAATTTGGAGTCAGCTGGTTGAACACAGCCAGGCATGATTCTTGCCAGCCCTGCTCAATATAAACCTCACTTATTTTGACCCTTACATTCAGAGTCAGGGTGCCAGCACAAAGAATTCAACAAGCACATTCTGCTGCGATCAAAGGAAATTCCTGAAGAGATCAGAAAAAAAAGTCGTTGATATCCATCAGTCTGGGAAGGGTTACAAAGTCGTTTCTAAGCCTCTGGGACTCCACCGAACCACAGTGAGAGACCATCTCCAAATGGAGAACACTTGGAACAGTAGTGAATCTTCCCAGGAGTGGTTGGCCTGCCAAAATTTCTCCAGAGGTGCAGCATAAAACCATCCAGGAAGTCACAAAGGCTCCTAAAAAACATCCAAAGAACTGCGGGCTTCTCTTGCCTCAGCTAAGGTCAACGTTCATGATTCCACCATCAGAAAGAGACTGGGCAAGATTAGGCTTCATGGGAGAGTAGTCACTGCTAATCAAGAAGAACATAAACGCTCGTCTCTCCTTGGCCAAGAAGCGCCTGCATGACCCCCAAGCCTTTTGGGAGAATGTTCTTTGGACAGATGAGTCAAAAGTGGAACGTTTTGGACGACATGAGTCCCATGACCTCTGGCGTAAAGCAAACACATCATACCCACAGTCAGACATGGTGGTAGGAGTGTGATGGTGTGGGGATGCTTTCCTGCCTCAGGACCTGGACGACTTGCCATAATTGAAGGCACCATGAA